ACAGCTGTTCCCCACAAGGATCCGCACAGAACTCATGCCCTCCCTCTCCGGGCCTGTTTACCATCCTCAGGGGAAGGGCTGGGACAGGGGGGTTGGGGGAGGGGTCCACTTCACTGAGCGCGGGAACCTCTCTCCAGAGGCAGCTGCCACCCCCTCCTCGTCCTGCCCATCTGGTGTGAAGCCAGCTCATATGGGGGAGGTGAGCTTGGAGTTGGGGTCCAGGTGAGGAGGCAGGAGCAGGGTCCACGCCTCGGAAACAGCAAGAACACAGATGGGGATGGCTCCGAGAGGATGCTCTCTTAGTGTGAAGCAGCTGGGCCGAAGCCCGCTTTCCAAGCGAGGGCTGCAGGGGTCTCTGAAGCTGGTGCCCACAGGGGCCCAGCCCCTGCTAGCCACCTGGAGCGGGTCTGGAGTCCGGGCACCTGTGTCTGTGCTCCCACATGTGTTGATGGGCTTACACGTCTGTGTTAGGCATGTGCACCTGAAATGGGTGAAAGGCATGTGTTAGAAGTCACTTTGCTGTCAAACTTTGCTGTCAAACTCCAGGGCCCTCACTGACACAGGCCCCTTCCAACGTTTGTCTCTAATCTGTTTTCATAGTTTGAGTTTCCTTTTTTGGAAAAACTTCTCCCTCCCCCAATGAATAAACATCGGGCCCAACAAAACCTGAATCTGCCCCTGACATATTTATATCGTGCTCTCACACATCTATGTCTCTGTCTCCCTCCCTCCCTCCTGCCCCCCATCCTTCCTTTCCTCCTTCAAGATCTGTGTTCCAGGAACATCCCCCTCTGGGGCAGAGGCACCTGGATGAAGCAGACATCAGGGATCCACAGGGGCACACTGAGGGGCAGCTTCATCCCGGGGCAATCCGGAAAACTGGTACTGGAAGAACGGAAGAATTGGCCGGGGTGGAGGGTCGCGGGCTGGGCGTGGTGGACCACGCTGTGGGCGCGTATGCGTTGTTGTGTGTATCTGGGTGTGATGCGGTGGGTGTTTGCCTGTGGCTGTGGGGTGTGTGTCCCTGCAGGTGTGCCGCTGAGGGACACCCCGAGTGCCTGTGCGCTGTTTGTTGCTGGCCTCCCGGGCCCGCAAGTGACAGAGACCAGGCAGCTGTGGGCTGAGATGCCATGGCTGTGGAGTGAGTTCCCTCAGGGCCAGTCCTCCCTGATGGAGCAAACTGCCGCTAGGAGCCCAGAGATAGGAGCGATGATTTCATCCCACCCAGGACGCCCAGACATCCTTGCTGGTCTCAAAAGGCCCTGCCAACCTGTCTGTCTGAGGCTAAGGCCCGAGGCTCTACAGATGCGCCACCTGGTCAGCTCTTGGACCAGCTCTTTGATTTGGGGTTCGGTTTGGATGGTAGACAGAGGTGGCCAAGCCGAGTTTCAGGTTTCCATGGTGACAGGCCCTGTGAGTGCTCTGGGTCAACGGTACTGGGGACAGCGTCGATTTTCAAGTCTAACTCACTCCTGTTATATAGTTGGCTCAGAAAGGTCTGCAGAAATCTCCAAGGTCACCTAGAACACCAGTGGTTATGCTCCGCTTACCCCCATCCCCCAGATGCACTTGCTACAGCTTTCCACTCTGCTTTGTGTCCCCTCATGAAGCTCACCTCTGTGGACATCATCACCTGGGCTTCCTTGGCTAGGCTCCAAGTTGGCTTCAACCAATGGGAGGCACCAAAGGAAGATAGCCAATGGGACCTAGCCAATGGGAGGCACCAGTGGGAGACAGCCAATGGGAAGCATCAGTGGGCATCCGAGGGTGGGAGGTGAGAAAAGTTGGGGTATTTTTTCTACCAACCCCCAGTTTTGGCAGTGGCTGAATCTCTCTAAACGCTGCTCTTCTCAGAGGATCCTTGACTCATACCTGCAGCTCTCACTTCTTCCAGAAAACCACTCCTCCCCCACTCTCTTCAGGTTTAGGGGATGAAGGCTTCCCACTGTTGCCAGCGCAAGTACTGTACCATCCCCTGTTGATTCTCCTACACACCCTGAACACCTTCTCCAAACACACACTTCAGATAAATTACCCCTTCATTAAACTGTTTTCAATAAACCACTGAGTGGGTCCTCTCTTTTCTCCTGAGACCCTGCCTATTACTTACAGTTTCACGTTGTGGCAGGAATAAAATATACACTCCCTTTTTTCTGTTTCTTGAATACAAGCTCCTTCTGGCATCCATGCCTCTGCACTTGCAGTTTTCTTTACTTGTTTAAAAAATCTTCTCTTCATCAATAAACAAATAGCAAAACACATTTTACATACTTGGCAGTGCTTTGGCCCTGATTCAGGGTTTAACGAATACTAGCTAATATAATTGTTGTTATTGTTGCTGTGGTGTTAAATATGGACAACATTGCCAAGGTACAGCAGTGGAATGGAAAGAGGGGCGCTTACGTGAACTTAAAGGACATGGTTTTAAAACCATGTCAATTTAACTAGTATTAACTAATACTGAAATATTGGGTCTGTGCCAATTATTACTCACCTTTGGTACATTTCTACAGTTCATGTTGTCCTTTGTATAACTGTATTGTTCAAAAGAAGTGTTATGTTTTGGGGGCTCCTTATTCACTTTCAGTTGAAATATATTCCAAGACTTCATGAAAGGGGGGAAATAATGTAAATGTTCGATAATTCAGGGTCTCGTTTCGTCGCACTGACATTTAAAATAAGATATACACGCTTAAAAAGTGAAAAATAATAATCTCTTCCAAGGGGTGTTCCTAATCACTGTCTAAATCAGGGGCCCCCTCATTCTCTCTCACCATCACACCTTGTCCCTTTCACAACACTTCTCAACACTTTGTAATCGTGATTATTTGTTTCCTGGGTAGGTTAAGATTTGTCTCTCCCCCTAACCTGTGAGCTTGACAAAGCCTTTTAGATCTTGCCTGCTGGGTTCGCTGCTTTGTCCCAGTGTGGTGTGTTGGTGAGCAGATAGACTAGGATTCTGTAACAAAGAGGCCCCCAAACACTCAGCACGAATAACATAGTTTATTTCTCCCAGAAGTAATAGCGTGTGTAGGTGGTCCAGGCTGGCATGGAGGTTTGAAGGTGTTCTCAAGCCCCAGGGCTCCTCAGAGCGCCTCTCTCCTCAGCCACACAGGACACAACTTAAAAAACCCTCTTCCCCAGAGCAATCCCACTCTTTTTGGCCTCAGCTCTCCTATCCAGTCTGCCCCAGATCTTTGTTCTCTCAACAAGAGGTTCATCCATGTGACTTCCCAGACCACAGAGCAAGCTCCTGAGATGAAGTCAGCCTCTCTCAATGACACAGGACCACTGTGTGCACTTTCTCCCTTGTTGTTATTAAATATTAATTTTTTCTTTCTGTGGCTATATTTTTTCTGTCCACATCCCTGACCTTTTGGCAAATTACTTCATTCTGTGCCCCAGTTTCCTCATCTGTAAAATGGGGATAACCATAGTTCCACTCCTAGTGGTGCTGTAAGGATCAAATGAGCATAAAGCTTTTAGAATTGAACCTAACGCAAGCTATGTGCTATTTAAATAATAATTAGCATGATTATCTCTTTGGATTCTCTCAGCCTCCCCATGGGTGGAGGGACAGGCATCACTTCATTTTCAGACACAGAAATGAAGGACCAGAGAGCCGAAGCCAGTTACCCAAGGCCACAGCGCTGCAGGCAGGCGGCGGTCTGGGTTTAATCCAGACCTGAACCTCAGTTACCTCATGATAAAATTAGGGTGATGATGGTAACCCTCATAGGATTAGGTTGTGAGAATCCAGGGTCATCGTGCAATCAGGTGATGGGCACATGCAGGGCACTGTTCAAACGTCTGTGCCCTTCCCCTTCATGGTGCCCCCTCACCTCCACCCCCGTCACACCGACACAGCGATCTCAGCTGCCCTGCCCCTGGCAGCCCTGGGGTCAGCTTCTTCTGTTTGGTGGGCGGGGCAGCTGGGCCTACAGAGAAGCCCATTGTCTCTGTCCTCTGGGGCTCTATTGTTGGGGCCTCCTCCCAGGATCCAGCCCCAAGACACTCTCAGCTGTCGCCGGGCTCCTCTTGGCTTCCCGGGACGGGGCCGGGGTGAGTGTGCAGATAAACAACTGTACCCTGAAGACTTGATCACCAGTCTGATTCTACTGGTAAGGTCACTGAGGCTCAGAGAGCCTAAAGAACTGTGTGGAGAGCGCTTGTCTCATGTCAGAGCCGCCAGATGGGGCTGGGCAGTGGGGGGTGGTGGGTGGCCTCAAGTCAGTGTGGTCATGCATCCCATTAGGTCGGAGATGTCAGGGCCAGAACACACGGCCCCCACTCTTCCATTTTACTCGTGGAAACAGAGACCACAGAGCCCGGACGCTTGCCCAAGGCCACACTGCGGCTCCGCCTCGGAGTCCGCCGGGAAGCCCGGCGTCCCTAACACCCAGGACGCCCAAGCCTTGAGACCGCGCAGGAAGGCCTGGCGGCCGGGGGCGGGGCATAGACTGGCCCTTCCCACGGGGCGGGGCGATGCCTCCCGTTCCAACTCTGGGACGAGCGGTCCTCCCCATAAGGGGCGCGGCTTCCGAGCCGGGCGAGATCTCACTGGGTGTTAGTCTGAGGAAGGGGGGACTTCGCGCTTGAAGGGCGTTGGGTGGCGTGGCCTCGCTCCCGCAGAGGCGCTCTGTGCGGGACTCCAGCCCTCTGTGCTGTGACGCAGGCGCGAGTGGAGGCGGGGCGGACCCGAATCTTCGGAGCTCCGCCCCCAGTGGAGACGGCAGAGGCTGGGGGCGTGTCCTGGGCGGGGCCGCTCCCCGGCCCGCCCGGTCGCGGAGCGGTGGCAGCGCTGGGAGGGCCCGGCCCCGGCATGTGAGTGCGGTGGGGGCGGGGATGGGGGCGCGGGGTGGGGCGCCGGGCCAAGCCCCGGGGGTTCCGGGGGTCCCGGTGGGCGGGAGCACCAGTGCGCGGGCGGCCGGGCGAGCCCGCCAGGTGCGGGCCCAGGTATGGCGGGTGAGGGGCGCTCGGGCCTCTTGTGGCCAGGCCGGCCCCGCGTGCCGGACCAGCCCAGCGCCGCCAATCTGCGGCCCACGGGACGGGCGCCGGCGCGGGGCGCCGTCCCGGCGGGGGCTCGCTACAAGCGCAGCTCTGACGTCTGGCCTCGGGCCCCACCAGCTAAGCGGAGGCCCCGCAGTGGCAGCCGGGTTTCTGTTCCCTGTGCGGCAGCTGCGGAGGTGTTATGGGGGTCAGCTGCGCGGCGGGGCCCCAGGTGACCCCATTCCTGGCTCCGGGTTGGGCCGCAGCCTGCGTGAGCCCCGACCTGCTGTTTCTGGGAACTGTCACCTCAGCTCTCAGGGGAAGGGCGCTTTCTGTGCTCAGTTGTTAAATGCGTTATCTCATTCTCAACAGCCACACATTTTACAGTTGAGGAAAGCGAGGCCTACGGCCACAGAGCTGGTGATGTAATTGTTATCATGTGGAGGTGAGGTGCTGAGGCCTTACAGCCAGACACACCTGGGTTCACATCTGCTGTTCCACAGACCCGTGTGACCTTGGGCGCACCTGGTTCCCTCCCGGAGCCTCCGGTGGGATGGTGGTGCCTACCCCCCAGGGCTGCTGTGAGGATTGGGTTGAATGGTTCAGGGAGCTCAGTAAGGAACCGCTATTATTACTGTTGTTGCTGTTGGTAAGTGGCCCTTTTTCTGCCACCGAGGGAGCTGGTGGTACTGGGTCAGGGCTGTCTGCTCAATCCCAGCCTGCTGGCGCAGAAGGGGAAGCTGCTTCCCACGGTGAGACTGTTCCTGTCTGTGCATGTCTGTCTCTGTGCCCATGGAAGGCCACACCCAACCCAGCTGTACCAGCATGTGCCGGAGTCACGCTGGCCCATCGTGTACTCACCGCGCTACAACATAACCTTCCTGGGCCTGGAGAAGCTGCACCCCTTTGATGCAGGAAAATGGGGCAAAGTGATCAGCTTCCTAAAAGGTATGGAAGGCCCCACTCGGACCCTACATCTGCTTTCTCCAGCCCACCTGCCACCACCTGCTGCTCTTTCCCTGGCACAAGCGTCAGGCCCTCCCACCTCCAGTGTCAGCCCTGAGACAGCCTCCCACCCGTGCTGTCAAAAAGATCTTTCCAACACAGACTTCTAAGCATGATATGCTCCCGTATCACACCTTCACTGGCTCTCCATCGCTGTGGACGTAAGTCCTGTCTCTGCCCCTGGAGACCCAGTAGAAGGGGAACTGATGCTTGGAGGAATGCATTGTCCATAGCCCACAAGCTCCTAGAGTCTGGGAAGTGGACAGCCTTTGCTCCAACCTTACGGATTACAAATGAAGGAACTTGGGGCCCAGAGAGTTAGAAAATGTGCCCAAAGGCACACAGCTATTGAGTGGGGGAATGGGGCCTGGACCTCAGAGCCCCAGGCTCGTCCGCTTCATGGCTCATCCCCTGAGTGGGGTGGTGCTCTGGGGAGCACGTTGTTTCAATTGTGGTTTGTAATCTAGGGATCTGGTTCATGTGGAAAATTTAGGCATCACAGTAGGCTGGTGAAAAAAAATATTCTAGTTCCTTGTATTGTGGGTTCTTTAACTGAGGGAAGTAGGAAATATTACCCGAAATGTTGCCTGGCATAGGATGAAACATTGCATATCTTTAAATCGCACAATCCCTCTGATGACACCTGGGGGAGGTTTCACTGTGGGGCTAGCCCGTCTTTAACACCTAAGCCCATCTCCCTTTTTAGCAAATCTAGAGCGAGCCTCAGTCTCTGCACCTGGCAGAAAATAGAGTCAAGTTAGAGATTAATAACACTGTTATTTGTTTTTATATTTTTTGTTTTTATTTTTGGTTAACTTCTGTTTATGGCAAGGGATACTGATTTTCCACTTGCAATAGTGACCAGAGTGCATATTCAAAGAAAAGTATTAAGTAGAAAAGAGTACAAGTGGTGTGCAGCCGTGGCAAGAGCTCTGGTGAGGTGAGCGGAGCCATCCTGCCTCTCGCCTGGCTGTTCTCATGCCTTCCTGAATGGGGTCCTTTATGCTCTGCTTCCAGTGGTCCTGAGTCTCTGTGTTCATTGCCCCTTCTTGGGCTCCTGTGTCACCCAGTAGCGCAACATAAGGGTTCCTTGTCCCCCTCACTCTGAGCTGACCATCTTCCTGAGTTTCCTCTGAGCAGGTGGGTGGAAAGGAGCCAGGGCCACATGGTGAAGGGCCTTGGGTACCGCCAAGAAAACAGCTGGTTCCTTGCCGGAAGGCAGTGGGGAGCCATGGAGTGTTTGGGGCGGGCGGGATACCTGCTATATGTGGAGCTCTTTGTGAGAAGTGTATGGAACTAGTTGGTTTCTACCAGGGTTGGTTTCTAAGAGTGACACATTAGCATAGGTCCCCTAGATTCTGACCTTGTCCTTCGACTTCCCTAGAACCAGAGCATCATGGTCCTGTTGTCACTGTGCCCTAGAGCACTTCATCCTCTCTGCCTTATTTCTTCTGTTGCAAAAGGGAGCAAGTCTTGTCTGGTGTATGCGTATGTGGTAATGAAATAACATGGTTTTTCCCAAACATCAGTCATTTGCAAACCACTCTTGGTCCCTTGCCATCGCCTCATACCACCTGTTCCATTATTTACTTCATAGTTTTTATTGACTTAGCCTTCGTTTTAAGAAACTTAAATAAACCTGTTTTAAAAGGAAACATTATGTCATCTAAATGGAAAAAGCCAGTTTCATTTGCCATAAATAGAAGGTCACGGTAAAAAATAAATGCAATGAAAACAACAGTGTTATTTCAGCTCAGGCAGCTTACTGTTGCTGCGTACCGTGAAACTGATTGCTCCTTTTGGGGGGTTAAAAAAAGGGAGATGAGCAAGGGTCAGGCAGGTGTTAAAGAGAGGCCCCCCGTATACCAACCCCCCATGATGTCATCCCAAGGTGGAGGGAGAATCGAGCAGAAGAGCTTTTTCTCACCTTGAGAGTCAGCGTTAATAACCCGTGTGCTACCTGCCTCTAGAAGGTGTCCAGTCACACTTGAGCTCGCCTCCCGGCTGTCAGTGGCCTGGGAAACACGAGGATCACTGTGCACAATGTCGTATGTCCCCTGGCCCGAGGGCCTGGCCGCTGTCCCCACTGGCCTGAGAGGTGGCCCCTTCTCAGACCGCCCACAAGCCACCAGGGCCCACCTTGTCCTGGGGCAGGGCTGCCAGCCTGTGGGAGGGGCTGGGGCTGGGCCTGGCCTGGAGGCGGCAGGGATGCATGGGGCCTGCTTTGTGGTTTCAGAAGAGAAACTTCTATCAGACAGCATGCTGGTGGAGGCACGGGAGGCCTCGGACGAAGACCTGCTGGTGGTGCACACGAGACGCTATCTCAACGAGCTGAAGGTACAGGGCCTGGGGGCTGCCAGCCAGAAGGAGGGGCTGGAGGAGGGGGCGCTTAGCCTGGGGATGCACAGCCTCGAGGGGCTCCATTCCTGTCCCTGTGCAGGGGGAGCATGTGAGTCTGTGATCCCCGACAGGAGAGAGGTGTCCTAGAAAGGCAGATGCCAGGGGTGGGCTAGGCTAGTCCAGGGGATGGTGAGCTCCCCATCCTTGGAGTATGAAAGCAGGGATGGCCACTTGGTGGGGGTTGAACCTTCATTGGGGTTTTGGGCTTCTGCATCAGTGACTTTCAATCTGTGCTATGTGGACAGGCCTCAAAGACCCCTGCTGGGATGATGGGTGGGGGGGCCCCAGTCCCTTGTCCCCTTTCAACCAAAGCTATTCCACTTTGGCCTATTTTTACCTCGGGCTAAAGTATAAGATGCTGTTTCAAGGGCTTCTGCAGCTAAAGACGTGTTGGAAACTGTTGGGCTGAAAACGAGTTTTTACGCCCCAGGGCCCAGCAGGGAACATAAACAAGTGGTGGGTGGTGTCTGGGACAACTGGAGCTCCTGCCCTTCCCAAGCTGGTGGCTGCCGCCCAGACTCCACCGTGGGCCCAGCTTTCAAAGAAGAAGCCAGAAATCCAGATGTTAAGTGACAGTTCCTGATTTCTTAATGTAGCAACTCATTGGAAGATTTCCGAAGCCCACCTGCAGAGCACATGGGGTCTGCCCGTGGTGACCTCATTCTAGAGGAGCTGCATGGCTCTCCTCAGTGTGGTTCTGAGGGTAGAGGCATTCAGTCAGTCCCCTGTGTGGGAGAAGAGGGCAGGCTGGGCTCGGGGTGGCATCAGAACCTGGTGCGTCAGGGATGCCACAGGTTCTCTGTCCCCAAGGGCATGCAGTCCTGACCCCTGACCGCAAGACTTCCCAGCAGGACTCATCTTAGACTCAGAGCTAGAGTGGGCGCCAGAGGTCACCAGGCTTCTTCCCCATAGGTGGAAACACCTAGGCCCAGAAAGAGGCCCCACCTGCTCAAGGTCACCTGGGAAGTCCAGCAGGCCCGGGGGAGACCCCAGGCAGGGCATCCGCTCAGGTCTTCCGGGTTCCAGGCCACGGCAGCTGCCCTCCGTCCTCCTCCACGCCGGCCTGAGCTGTGAGAATTCTAGATGGATCCGTGACAGTGTGAGCTCATGAAAGATTACCAGGAAGAGGTTGAAACCTGGCTCCCGGGAGAGCGAGGTGTGCGAGGCCTTGGCACGAAGCCCAGCACTTGGCTGCTCTGGTTTCCCAGGGCCCGGACATGCGTGGTCACAGCCCAGCAGCTCGGTCAGGAGGACATGCCTGCCAGAGTCCGGAGGGTGAGGGTGGGGGCAGGGAGAGACCAGAACAGAGTGGCGCCAGGCTGGAGCCAGTGCCAGGATAACGCTGGGGATGGGGGATGGGCTCCAGGGCTCCAGGGCTTCATCCGTTTGAGGGGCTTTTCAGGGAACGGTGTGGGACTGACTGCATGCCTGGCCTTGGGACCCCAGAAGCCTGAAGGCAGCTTACTATGAGATAAGCAATAATGCAAACAAGTAGAGCCCCAAATAGAAAATTGAGGTCAAGGACAGGAGGAGACTTCAGATATGCTAACATAACCAAGATGCTATGGTTGTGCCATGTATTTGGAGCTCCCTGGCAGCCAGAGCAAAAGGAGAAACATGATGATTTCCACATGACCTACTAAGATGAAGAAGTATTCAGTCACGCAGCACGTCTATATCGAATACTGACTGTGTACTGGGTGCAAAGAAAAAAAAGAATAAGCAAGTTTCCCTGCTCCCATGGATTTGTATTTCATTAAAGAAGACTGAAAATAAAGAAGTAACCGTACAAGAGCATTTCGGAGAGCACCAAGGGCTATGAAGGGAAAAAAAAGGGTAATTAGGCAGAGGTATGTTCATTTAGCTTGAGCAGTCAGGGAGGGCCTCACAGAGGAGGTGAGGTGTGAGCAGAGATCAAAGAATGAGGAGTAGGTGATACTCATGTGGAGTTTTAAAAGAAGAATGTCCAGAGTCTCTGGCCTGGGGAGGGAGGGGGCTTGGCCTCCCGAAGGGGAGAGGGTTGCTTGAGTGGCCAGGTTGAAGGGAATGACACGCTGACGTGGCGCGTGATGTGGTCAGGGAGGCCAGCAGCCCTGGTCCACAAGCCCTGCAGGCCTCAGGAGGAGCTTGGATTTTGTTCCAGGTGCCACAGGAGAGTGATGTGGGGTCCGGTGCCCCAGACGCTCAGGTGAGACCCATGCACGTTCCAGGCATTGTGTGGTGTCTAGGGGCTGCTCTCGGGAACAGCCCCCTGGCCCCTGATGTCCACGACGTTTCTTTTCTCTTTTCTCTGCTGCAGGACCCCCAGGGCTGCTTCTCCTCAGCGGTCCTGTGTGTGCCCTGCCCGTACTGCCCCATACCCGTGTTCCGGGCTCATGCCTGGCCCTGCACTGGTGTGGCCTTCAATGCTTAATACACTGGGCATTGAACGAGGTGCAGTGGCCTGATGTTTGCCAGATGACGTCCATTCAGGGAAACAAGTGTTTATTGAGCGCCTGCTGTGTGCAAGGCCCAGAGTCGGCCCCACTGAGGGTGGGGTTTGGGTCGGGCCAGGGCCAGGCTCCTGCCTTGTGCTGACCCTGTGACAGTTTGCCGTGGGGCGCCGGGTGGTGGGATGCAGACCCGACATGTAGTCCCTGTGTGCCCTGTGCTGGGCAGTGCTCGGGACACATTTATGTAGTGAGTGTTTAGAGGACCGGGCTCTGCTCTGGGTGTAGGATGATGGCGGAACAGAAGAGACTGAATCCCTCTCTTGATGGGACGGAGTTGGTGTGTTAAAAGGCGCTCAGTGCCTTGGGGAAAGGACAGCGGGAAAGGGGGTGTGGAGGACCGCCCTTCAAAATAGGAGGCCGGGGGTCTCACTGCCATGTGACCGTGGACTGAGGGCCCTGAGGGAGTAGGCTCGGTGGGCGTCTGGGGGTAGGCATTCCGAGCAGAAGGGTCAGCAAGTGCAAAGGCCCTGAGGCAGGAGTATCTCCAGTGTGTTCCAGCAGCAGCGAGGACTAAGCGACTGGATGGGAGGAATGGGAGGGAGACGGTAAGAGGTGGGGTCGGAAAATGATCGGGGCCAGGCCACAGAGGGCCTGTGGTCGCTGTGGCTTTGCTCTGAAGGAGGTGGGAGCCCAGGAGTGTTTCAAGCAGGGGGACGTGATCTGACCTAGATTTTAACAGGATTGCTTGGCAGCTGTGATGGGAATGGTTGAGACCGGTCTGTCAGAACAAAAGCAGGGAGCCTGGGAGGGAGCAGGTGGTTGCAATGATCCTGGTGAGAGAGCCTGGCCTCTCAGATGAGGCTGGAAGTAGCTGTGACCTGGGGGCGGTACGTGGCAGAACTTGGGGTTTGTTATGAAGTTGGAACAATAGGATTTTCTTTTGTTCAGATTGGGTGTGGGGTCTGCAAGCCAAGGAAGCCAAGGAAGCCCCAGAAATTGTGGCTGGAGCCCCAGGGAGTCTGGGCACAACTTGGGCCTCGTTGCTACCCTCACAGCGCCCGGCGCCTGTGGGAGAAGAGACACAGGCCCCTGTGTGTGCCACGGAGCAGCCGGGGGGGCGAGTCTCAGAGAGTCCCAGGGAAACAGGACGCCCAGGGTTATAGGATCAGCTTCTGCATTGCTGCAGAGAAAAAAAAAAGGCCATTGGGATTTTGGCAGGAATTGTGCATCTGAAGATGAATTAGGAGAGAACTGACATCTTTACAATGTTAGGTCTTCCAGCCCATGAACACAAGATGTCTTTCCACTTATTTAGATCTTCTTTAAGTTCTGTCAGTGGCGTTTTGTAGTTTTCCGTGTATGAGTCTTATACCTGCTTGGTAAATTTATTCTTTTTGAAGGTGTTGTAAATGAAATTGTTTTCTTAATTTCTGTCTGGGGCTATGGCTTCCTATTCTTTCATTCTCTGTGCCCTGCTGGCTTGCCGAGGGTGGGAGGGGGGCATCGACTCAGTGTTTTCCTTCAGGGGCTCGTTGCTCACTTACTTGTAGTGAACAGTGGTTCTCTGCCTCACGTGTGCCGGACCGGTGCTGGGTGATGGGCTTGGCGGGACAGATGGGTGGAGCTGGCTGTCTTCCCTTCTCGGGGTCTGCCCCTTACCACACACGCATACACATGAATGCATGTGCATATGCACACCTCTGCACACGTGCACGAAAACACACACACACACACGGGTCTCGCAGCTGTCCAGCCAGACCATGTTCTCCCTCTCCCCAGCAAGGCTGTCGCGTTGCATATCAGCGCCTCCCTGCTAGGCCGCTATGTGTCCATGAGGCCAGGAGTAGTGCCATCTTGGGACCTGCAGCCTAGCAGGCGCTTAGTAAATACCTACCAAGTGCTGGGGCCCCTCCAGGGCTCTGCTTGGGGTCAGTGGAGAGCAGGGTCTGGACCTCGGGCGTTCCCAGGCAGGCAGGAGATGGTCTAGGAGCGGGGTGCATGGATGCTTGCCCAGGGCTCGGGAGGTTATAGGGAAGGCCTGTGTCCTTATCTTGGTGCAGACGCCTTCTCGGTGCTCCAGACCCTCCTGCCTCAGCAGTGGAGGATGAGGACATCCAGCCCCATTTGAAGGGATGACCGATTTCCCGGTGGATGGGGAGGCTGTGCTGCGCCTGGACAGCAGGAGCCCTGGGCGTCCAGTCCTGGCTCCGTCAGTGACTCCCTGTGACCTTGGAAGGAAAGATCCTCCCCCCAAGCCCCCCGCCTCTCCGGGGCCTCAGTGCCCCTCTGTGCAGTGGGCGGGCTGGGCCAGTTCTGGGTGGGCTCCGTGGTGACCTGGAGTCCCCTGCAGCTCTCCCTCTGGGCACAAGAGGGCAGCCGAGGGCCTTGGAGCACGAGGACCGAGGGCTGACTTAGCTTTAAGGAGAGTGCGGTTGTGAGCATCTCTGTACTGAGCCCAGAGCTCAGCCACGGTGGGAGCTCCCATTTCTCACCCAAGGAGCTGCGCTCGCCCGAAGTCCCCCCCCACCCCGCGCCACCCCGAAGCTGGCCCAGGGGGAATCTGCTTCCCCGCTGCTGCCTCTGGGCTCACCGGGCAGAGGGAGGCCAATGGCCCACATCTCTTTCCACAGTGGTCCTTTGCTGTCGCAACCATCACAGAAATCCCCCCTGTCATCTTCCTGCCCAACTTCCTGGTACAGAGGAAGGTGCTGAAGCCCCTCCGGACCCAGACGGGAGGAACCATAATGGTAGGTGGGGAGCTGGTTTCGGGGTGGGGAGCAGCGGCTGGGCTGGGCCCTCCACCCCAGGCTCCTTCCCACCCTGGGTCTTTGCCCACCCTGGGCTCTCCGTCTAGAATGCCTCGTGCTGCTGAGTAGTTGAGCAAAATCCTAAATATTCCTCAAGGCGGCAACAAGAACTCTTTCTTCCAAAGCCTCTCCTGTCTGGCTGGGACATTAGAATTCACTGTTCTGCCCCCAAGACCACCTGTTAGAGTTACCGTATTTGCTGGTGTATAAGATGTATCCTCACCCCCTGGAGAGTGTGTTGTAAAACTGTGACTCCGAGCTACTCTAATTTCAGATGGAAACAAACCCCTATGATGTCAGCGATGGATGGTGCCCCTCCCCCCCATCGTGGGTGTGACAGTCACAAACACTTGCAGCAAAACTGGGTTTCACATTCTGTGTGTAGTTTTCTCTGAAATTCGCCACAGACTGCTGAGTTGATTGGAGGTGGAGGAGCTGAAATGATTTGAATGTACAATGATCCAACCCAGACAGGGATCAATACCTGTTGACCCCTATAGTTTTCTTTTCAGCTTTGCAAATTTGTGCATTTTGAAAGTTTATTAGAATATTACTGCCCACCCCAAAATTATGATTTCCTATAGGATTTCAGTAATAAGGCGACAGTATTTCCAGGAACAAAAATTTGTCCATTTTCCCTTTAAAAGCTGCTTGAGAATCCTTGTCAGCTCACGTTCCATCCCAAGAACTGAACTTTGATTTCCTCCAGTCTCCTCACCAAATTGTACAGGGGCTTACGCACCGCATGTCTCATAAGCCAGCCAGTTCGGGGTTTGCTGGGGATGGGTGGGTGCTTCCTGTACCCCACCTCCCAGCTCATCCCCACCTTGGAGCTGGCTGGAAATGGTGTTTATGGGATGAGTGATTCAATGAATAAGTAAGTGCAGGAATTGGCCGCCCGCACCCCTCATCCTGTGCTTGTTTCCAAAGGCGGGGAAGCTGGCCGTGGAGCGAGGCTGGGCTATCAACATAGGTGAGTGCCCCGTGGCCTGACCTGGGTCCTGGGGGCAGCAGCTCTGGTGCCACTGTGGGCAGGGGTGGCCACGATGGCAAAGCTGCCTCCTGACCCAGGGATGGTGACATGCCCACGCGGGGTCAGCTGACTTAGGCAGCCTGGAGCCCGGAGCCATCCCTGGGAGCTGAGCGGGGAGGGGGGCCCTGGGAGGAAGGTGGGAGGGGGGTGTCTGGGCCTTGAGCCTGGCCCTGGCAACACCTCGGCTGTCCTCGCAGGCGGCGGCTTCCACCACTGCTCCAGCGACCGGGGCGGGGGCTTCTGCGCCTACGCAGACATCACGCTCGCCATCAAGGTGTGCCCGAGAGCATGTGGGGGGGGTCGCCTCCGAGAGCCTCCCTGGAATCCCCCAATCTGGTGTGCTCACCCCGCATTGTAGAGAAGGCAGCTGAGGCCCAGAAGGGGCGGGAGCTCGCCCGGGTCCCTCAGCCGGGCTGGGACCCAAACCCAGATACGACACTTGCTTTTTCGTGTTGCCTGAGATGGTGCAGAGGCGACAGCCTTCAACAGTGGCAGGGGACCGGAGGGGAACAGTTTCCATGTCAATATTAAATTATGAGAAGGGTGAGATAGAAATAATGACCCTGATGGTGGTGACAACGGCTAGCATTTACCGCGGGCCCGGCCCTGTGGCCGCCTCCATCCTCCAGGGCTCGCCCCTGCATCTTCACGTTTTACAGAGGAGGAGACGAGGAAACGGGCCCAGAGGGGCGAGGGCACAGCCGGAAGGGGCAGAGCTGGCAGCGGTCTCCACGTCGGTCAGACCGCAGCGCTGCCTCAGCACCCGCGCGTGGCCTCATGCTCGGGGTCGGCATGGGCCCCGTGGCTCCTGTCCCCACGGGGAGGAGGGACAAGTCAGCAGACCCTGGGCATTCGGAGAGGGGGACGCAAGGAGACCTTGGAGGGTGGGGGAGGGGAAGGAGGGCTTCTCAGAGGAGGAGGCTTTAGGGCTGGGCCCTGTAGGAAGGCGGAGATGGCAGAATGAAGTTCCAGGCACAGCCTTGAGGGGGGTTCCCCGCTCTGCACCCCAGCATTTCCCCGGGAATCCTGAGCTGTCGCGGAGGGCCAACTCTCTTAACCTCCTCACCTCTGGCCCTTCAGGGCACAGCACGTGCCCCTCCAGGGAGCCTTCCCTGAATACACACACAGGCTTCTCCAGAGCCACACAGCTCCCGAGGGCTCTGCCTGGTGGCCTGATCTCCCATAAGCATGTACAGACTTCGGCCCACCCCCTGGCTAACTGGGAGCCTCTACAGGGCTGTGTCCTCTGGCCTGTGTGGTCCTTACCTCTCCCCTCTCCCGCCCTGGGCAGTTTCTGTTTGAGCGAGTGGAGGGTGTCTCCAGAGCCACCATCGTTGATCTCGATGCCCATCAGGTGAGTGCCTGGTGGGGCCCGGGGTCCCACAGGCCCGCCCCCCAGGCCACCTCCCCGCACTCCCCAGCTGCCTCTGACGCGCACCACCGTGCTGTGGGCTCCGCTCCCCCAGGAACATCCCCCAAGCCCCAGGCTGGGCCTCTGCCGCCCGCACCCAGGCACGCCCGCACCCAGGCACGTGGGGTGTTTCCTGGGGTGTGGTTGGGGGTGCCTTTCCCGGGGCACCTGCCTGTGAGTGGCTTCCGTGTGTTCCCCACAGGGCAATGGGCACGAGCGGGACTTCATGGGCGACAAGCGCGTGTACATCATGGACGTCTACAACCGCCACATCTACCCCGGGGACCGCTTTGCCAAGCGTAAGCTGCCCTGTCCCTCAGCCCCAGGGCCTCTTGCTTGGATGGGGCTCTCTCTGGGGCCTTTCCTACATGCTGGGACCTGCAGAGGCCCCTTCATTTATTTATCCTCGGCATCCCTGCGAGGGGAGACTGACGAGGAAACGGAGACCTAAAAAGGTCACTTGACCCACCCAAGACCACATAAACCTGCCCAATAAACACTGTGAGTCCTTCTTTTGGGGTAACCACCAGAAGACTAAAGTAGCCTTCTCTACTAGGTATGCAGCTGTCTGGTCAAAAACAGGGAAGGACAAAAAAGAAAAAAGAAGGAAAAATACATAAATATAAAATAAGACGGCAGAAATTAGTTCAAATATAATAGTTACTAAGTAAATGCAGGTGGATTAATTACAAGGTAGAGACTCTCAGCTGAGCTTTGGAAACAGGGACCTGCCCACCCTGTGGGGAAGGGACATTTGCGCAGTAAAAGCCGGCGGGGCCGCTGTGCGTACATCAGCCGCTTTGCCGCCCCGGGGACCCGTTTCTGAACTGAATGTCAGATGTTCTGGATTTGGACCTAAGGGCACATGGGGTGTCCAGGCAAGGACTTACGGAGACAGTGGGCTCAGACACCTGACATGGGTCCCTGAGTCCCCAGGGCAGTGTTTCATCTGTGATCCCCCTGCTTTCCTTTGGGTCCCCCTTGCCGCTTGTGTGCTCTTTTTTTAGCCTAGTTTTGGGTGAATAAGAGGTCGAGCACTGGGGAGTCAGATGGGGAAATGGGCCGTCCTCGCCCTCCCCAGCCTCAGTTTCCCACCCCTGCACATTGGGGCTACTGCTGTCTCCCTCGCAGAGGCCATCAGGCGGAAGGTGGAGCTGGAGTGGGGCACGGAGGATGATGAGTACCTGAGGAAGGTGGAGAGGAACCTGGAGAAAGCCCTCCAGGAGCATCAGCCCGATGTGGTGGTGTACAACGCAGGCACTGACGTCCTTGAGGGGGACCGCCTCGGGGGGCTGTCCATCAGTCCGCAGGTACCTCCTGACCCTGGGGCAGGGGAGGGTCCAGGGACACAGCAGCGGCAGGGCAGGTGGGCAGCAGTGGTGCTTCTCTTGAAGCCAGAGGGGAAGGGCAGAAGCAGCAGCAGTCTGGAGCAGGGTTAGACCTGCAGCAGGACTTTCCAGCCTTCCCCATCCCCCACACCAGGGTGTCGTGAAGCGGGATGAGCTGGTGTTCCGGCTGGTCCGAGGCCACCAGGTGCCCATCCTCATGGTGACCTCGGGCGGGTACCAGAAGCGTACAGCCCGCATCATTGCCGACTCCATCCTTAATTTGTATGGCCAGGGGCTCATCGGGCCCCAGCCAGCCAACGTCTCAGCACAGAACTCAGACACACCCCTGCTGCCCCTGGAGGTGCCCTGACGACACTGCCCTCTGAGTGGCTCCCTGCCTGCCGCCCACCCGCCCGCCCGCCCGCCCACCTGCCCCTCAGTGCTTCTCCTTTTCCAAATGAGGGGGGGGACCTCGCGCGCAGCTGCACTCTCCGCACTGGGTGTCGCGGTCTCCGGGCCATTCTGCGGGTGGGGGCAGAGGGCAGGGCCTGAGTCCCAGAAAGACCCACACGGTCACGGTCACGGCCTGACCAGGCGGCAGTTCTCCCAGGAGGGAGGAGGGCAGTTGAAGCTCCCAGGTGCAGGGAGGGCCCCCAGGGGTGGGGTGTTCTGGTTTTCAAAACAGTGCGACCGTTTCAGACCAAGGAAGCTTCCATCTCTTCCACAGTTGGGCCCCCTCCCTCCTCTTCTGCACCCTCTCCTCCTCCCTTCAGGGGTGGGAGACCTGAGGGGGGGCTGGAGCCAGGCGTCTGGGGTCCCTGGATTCCCAGCCAGCAGGCAGGGGCCCTGGTCCTGGATGTGAGGGGGCGGCAGGGAAGGGGATGCAGGTGGGTTTTCCCATCTGGCTTCTCCTTTAATAAAGCGAGGTCTGGACCTGCTGTCCGAGAGCCCCTCCCTGGTGGGGAGGGGAGGGGAGGCCTGAGGAGCCCCAAACCCCTGCTTCAGCAGCATCTTGCCCGTCCAGGGAGGGCGCCGGGTTTGGGGGAAAGAACTGTTGACTCAGGGACAGGCCTTAGCTCTGGAGGCTTGAGGGACAGAGGAAGGTGAGGCCTGGACCAGGTAATCGGGGAGGGACAGGTGGCCAAGCTGGGTCCCACAGGCCCCGAGGCCCAGGTGGGGACTGAGGCGCTGGTGAGGCCAGGCTGGTGTTGCTGGAGGGGAGCAGAGGGTCTCCATCCTGGCCTGCAGGTTGTACGCGTAGGGGGCTGGGGCGGGGCCCCGGCGGGGGCTGCAGCCTCCACTGGGCTCATCCAAAATGCCAGGCCCTGGTGTGCACTGCCCGGGGGGGCCCTGACCTTGTCGTCAGCTCTACTCTGGAGGGGATGCTCAGGACCCCACAGGAAGCGGGGGGTAGGGGGGAGCGTCCACTGCTCCATTGCCTGGGTGTGTTCTTAGTGGTCAAAGCGGGTGGGGAGGGAAAGAGGGCCGTCCCTGATCAACCCCCCCACGGGACTTGTGCTCATTGCCATCTGGGGGTCTCCTGAATTCTCCTACCTTCTCCCTCACACCCCTCTCGCCGCTCCCTCTGCTGGAGGGGGCGGGGCAGTAAGGGTTCCAAGATCACCAAGTGTCAAACACGCTGAACTCCTTAGGCTTGGACGCCGCACCCGCCCTGCCCCGCCCCACCCCGTCCCTGCCCCGCCCCTGCCCTTGGTCCCTGCATCGGACTCGAGGCACCTAACACCACTTCACCTCCGACACGGCCTGCAGCCTTGGGGGGCAGGCGGTGACAGGCTTGTCACCACGGAGCCTCTGCTCCAGAGAACCATAAAGGCTCTTTTGATCCGACCTGGCTGCCGTGTGTTTTTTTAAAATTAATTAATTTTATTTTTGGCTGCCTTGGGTCTTCGTTGCTGCGCGTGGGCTTTCTCTACTTGCAGTGAGCGGGGGCTACTCTTCGTTGCGGTGCACGGGCTTCTCATTGCGGTGGCTTCTCTTGTTGCGGAGCACGGGCTCTAGGCGCGCGGGCTTCAGTAGTTGTGGCTCGTGAACTCTAGAGCGCAGGCTCAGTAGTTGTGGCGCACCGGGTTAGTTGCTCCGTGGCATGTGCGATCTTCCCAGACCAGGGCTCGAACCCGTGTCCCCTGCATTGGCCGATGGATTCTTAACCACTGCGCCACCAGGGAAGCCTTGCCGTGTGTTCTTGAGGTGAAGAATCCATACCTCCTAAGGATTAAAGGAAATAAAGATTGAAAGTTCACACGGCAAGAGGCCTGGCGTGGGGTAGCTGCCTGATAAACGCTAGTGTTTTAGCCCATGCACAGAGTCCCATGGAGAAGGTCATTATTCCCATTCTACAGATGAGGTCGCTGAGAGTCGGCGAGGAGTTTGCTTCAGGCCACATGTCTCGTGAATGGTAGAGCCAAGTTTGACCTCAGCTCTGCCCGTTTCCAAAGTATGTGTTCTCAGCTGTGTCAGGTTAGGCAAGGGTGAAGGGTGCTCTCTAGACAGAGAGGGGTGCAGGGGCGGGGAAGGGTGGGGATGGGAGGGCAGGCTGGGCTGGGCTCTGCCCAGTGTAGGAGGCAGCTGGGGGCCCTGGTGGGGTGGTGTGTGTGTGTGGGGGGTCTTCCAGGCCTGGGCTGGGAGCACAGGTGCGGATGGGCTGGGTGGGGGCCCGCTGGGGAGCAGGACCTTGTCCTCAGCCTGGCAGGGTGACCAGGGCACCCCCAGGGTTAGTGGCACAGCCTGGGTGGGGAATGGGCGCTTCCACAAGGGTCAGTGCCGGGGCAAGGGCAGGAGATGAAGACATCGGGGTGGTGGGCCCTGTGCTAGGTGTGAGGGGGATGAAGGTTGGCACGGCCCCGTCCTCTCTGTTTTCCAGAGGCAGATAGCGAGGCACGGGGGCTTGGTTCCTTGCTCAGAGCACACAGCTAGCAGGCGGAGGAGCAGGGTTCCAGCCGAGGCCTTGGTTCCAGAACCCGCGGCTCTTTCCTCCTCTGTATTCTGGGCCTTTAAGGACACCGTAGTCACCTGGAGGGTGGGCCCAGGAGTAAACACCTAGGACGCCATGAGTGCCCAGGGGGTGTTAGCAATGAGGGTGGTTCTCCTGAAGGGCAGAGAGAAGAGCCAAGGCCAGTTCCGGTGAGGTGTTCAGGATCTGTTCTTAAGGTCTGTGCACTTTGTCCTCTTTGCAAATTATTCTCCAAGTTATCAAAACCCAGGGGGCACACTCCAAGCCCTGGCTGTCCGGGCGGGTGGGGCAGCCCAGGGTGAGACTGGGGCCAGGCCGGGAGCTCTGGGGTCAGACACGTGCTCCGGGGAGAACCTCCAAAAAGGAGCCCGCGTGGGCCAGCCCGGTCCTGGCGGGCGTGGGATTTCTGCAACAGACAGCTCCAGAGCCTCCTGAATGTCTGAGCTCAGATGAGGCCCCTTCCCCCCACCATGTGCTGGGGAGCATGCTGGGGAGTGGGCAGACCTGGGACCCCAAGCCCGCCATGTGGGGAGCCCTGCAGGGCCTGGGCCTGGGTATGGGGCCTTGGGCAAGTGACAGCCTCTCAGAGCCTCCTTCCTCAGCCCTCTTGGCGGGTCACATCCTGAGCCTGCAGGGCTGAGCAGGGGTGTCGGGTGACCCCGGAGGCAGCTCAGAACCTGGCACCACGTGAGTGCTGTGTGATCGCTGCCGTCCATCTCCTCCCCCCCCAGACCCCGCACCGTGCCTGGCACTGGCGGGAGCCTGCTAGGCCTAGGGGAAGGGGGTGCCCTCGCGGAGCCCTAGCCCTGTTCTCTGCCGGGGGCCGGTGGCGGGCTGTCAGGCAGCACTGGGGCAGCAGTGTCCCCCCACCTACCCCCTCCTGAGGCTGGTGGGGGCAGAGGCAGGAACGAATGTACCCAGCCTGATGCCTGGGGCATAAACAAAGGCGGGGGCGTTGGCAGGGCCCCCCAGCCTAGCAGGACTCCTGGGCAGAGCTGAAGGAGACGTAGGACACCTCCCTGGCTCCTCGGCCAAATGCTTGGGGTTTAGGGCCAGGAACTCCTCCAGGGCCGCCTGCCCTTGAGTTGGTTTCATTTAGCTCAGCCAACACTGGCTGGGGATGCTCCGCTCGTAGCCCAGGGCCAACACGGGGAAGCTCGGTGCCACCCTGGGAGCGATGTTGTCCCGTGATTGTTAGCCAGGCTGCGGGGGGCAGTGGTTAATCCATGCCTCACTGGGCTGGCCTTGAGTCCTACCTCCTGCCGTTGCTAGCTGGGTGACTCTACCTCTCCGTGCCTTAATATACTCATCTGTAAAGTGGGATGATACCCCAAATGGGGATGACTGTCATGAGAATTAAATGAGTTAATATTTCTTAAGTGCTTAGCGCAGTCCCAGCATGGAGCATACACTTAGTACAAGTTACCCATCATCGTCATCATTACCATTTTACAGATGATGAGATCGAGACTCAGAGACGTCAAGTGACTTGTCCAAGGTCACACAGTCAGGCAATGGAAAGGCCAGGGAAGGGACCCAAGGCCACCTGACTGGAACGAGTGCCCTTTTCCCACAACCAGACCTTCTGGCAAAGGTTTGGAATGAGAGTATCTTGGGGGGCATGGTGTCCCCCTGCCCACCTGGACCTCTCAGCTGTTCCCTGGTTCACACCCGGGAGAGGCAGGTGTCAGACCCCGATGTCCAGATGAGACAGCGGACCCCAAAGGGAAGGCATCCCTCCTGGGTCCTGCAGTGTGGTGTCAGGGCCAGGCTGAGGTACATGTGACGGTTTTAAGTGGCTGTCTGCTCAGGCGGCTTCCGCGTCCTGCCCCGGGGCCGCCTGTTCACCTCTCGTGCACATGGCACCCAGAGGCCACCTCGTGCATGGCAGCTGGACGGTGGGTGGGGCGCACTGCAGGAGAGGGCAGGCTGTCCTCGTGGAGGGCCCGCTGGGATCCTGGCTCGCTGCTGGTGGTCACCACCGTCAATTTATCAATGGGGAAAGTGAGGCCCAGGGAGGGCTATTAAGGAGCCTGACACCCCTGGCGGCCAACCGGTACCAGAGCCCTCCTCCTGGCTTCCTCCCATGGCGGGCCAAGCATCGCTTCTGCCACCACCCCGGGCGTTTTCCTCTGCACCCCTTGTTGCCACCAGGGTCAAGGCATGGTTGACAGGGCAAGTGGGAGTCCTGAGCTCTGCCGGGACGGCGGGGGCCCTCTGGAGAAAGGACGTGGACTTTGGGGTTGGCCAGCCTTGGTTTGAACCTGCTCTGCCACTGGCCTGCGAGTGACCCTGGGCAGGTGTGTCCCCGCTCGGAAGCTGGCCCTCCCTCTGCAGCGGCCTGTGTGAGGTGACGGAAGTGGGCTGGCCTATACTCTCTGGGTCATTTGAGGGCAGAATTAGTGTCCAAAGCGTGAGCGTGGGATGCATCCTTCTGGCTTGCTCCCCACCCTCTTGCTGCACAGACAGAAATGGAGACCCGGAGAGACGGGGACCTCGCTGCATGTGGGAGCTCACCCATCGGGAGGCGGTGTACATGGTGGTCGGATCCTGGCTTTTCCGCCCCCTGTGCGGCCCTGAGGAAGGCCCTGATCCCTGAGCCCCGATCTTCCCCCCGTGCGGTGCCCGGGCATCAGCAGGTGCTTAGTTAACGTTAGCTAATGATGTCATTCAGGTGGGAACGAGACGGGTGTTCTCAGAGCCGGGACACAATGCAGCTTCTGGGTTCACGGCACGGTTCACGCACGAGCGTGTGTTCAACCGCTTTGTTCTCAACACAACTGTGTCTGTGGAGGAGGAAAGGGGCGCAGGGAGGGTGGGTCTCCACCCGGATATGGCCCCTGCCCACCCCAGAGGCTGGGCCCAGCATGCTGCAGGTACCCCACCTTTGGGTGCCCCCTGGCCATGACCTCCCCTCCCAGGGGGTGTGCCAGCGAGGGGTGGTGGGGATCCAGCTAGGTGGCTGCTGGGACTTCCCACCCCTTTCTGACTCTGAGCGTGAGATTCCTGGCAGGTTCCCTGGCAAGCCTTGCAGGTCCAGGGAAGGGTCACATCCGAGGGGCGCTCCCGCGGGGCCAGGAGGAGTGGGCAGGGCCCGGCCAGAGACTCCTCCCTGCTGGGACCCCCGAGCCAGTGCTTGCAGCCCGCCAGTCGTCGCGGTAACCGATACCCAGGCGGCCAGACGGAGTTATGGTGTGTGGCTGGGAGGCTATTTTGTCTAATATGTTAAAAGGCCTTTGGAAATTCCTGGAGCCCATCTGGTCCTAGTTACACCACAATATTGCTGTCTCTTCAGCTTGCAGACAAGGCAACACTTTTATTTCTCCTTTCGGAGCTCAGGAATGTGCCGAGAACACAGGCCGGCAAACGCCCATCTGGTTCCCCGAGATCCTCGATCACGTGAGGACCCATCATCCTTTTAAAGGCTGCGGCTCCTTCCCCGGGTGTCCTGAGATGCCGTGGGGGGCTAAGGCCTTGGAGGGGGGTGCCTGGCTGTGTTATGTGCCCCTGGCCTCTGTGCTTCCTCGCCCGTGCAGCAGAGACAGGAGCTCCTGGAGGGGGGCACACTAGCCTGGCATGTGGTGGGTACCTAGTCAGCACCAGTTTCCCAATCAGCTCCATGAACCCAAGAAAGTTCCTTAACCAATCCAAGCGCCAGTAGCCTCTGTCGAACGGGGTCTACAGCTCTGAGGGATGTCGATAATCATTCCTGACTCACCTGGCACCTCCGCCCACCCACAGCCATCCCTAGAACCAGAGGAGAAACGAATACAGAGGCTCCTCATCTAAAACATCCATGTGGAGTCCAGGCCGGGCCCCTCGTGCTCTTCTTCCCGGGGTGCTGGTCCCTGTGGGTCCGTCGGGGCTCCTGCTGCGG